GGGATGTAGAGGCATCCTCTTGACTGGGCCTACTACGTAGTGCTTTGCGACGCTCAGGTGCTCACATACAGCAGGGCCCAGCCGGCTCAGTTACCCTGCATGTGTGTAGAGAGAGGGACCAGCCGCGCTGGGGCCGGGCACTTCCTGCGGACGTGTACAGAGCATTCTGCGAGGCCATAGAAAATGAGTTTTGAAGGGCATGCAGTCCGTTTGAACTGATGCAGAACGTGCTGGCCTTTCTATAGAATGTTCTGAATGGTCATCCGGCTGAAGTGGACAGCTCATCGCCTAACAGCTCCAAGCGAGTTATGTTTGAAGTCGATGCTATTCAAACAAAAGCTGACAGTCCTGGATTCCAAAGGTTTCGCAAGCTTGCGAGACTGAAGGTGTTGCGAAATCACTCTGGATGCACATCTCTCTTCTCTCCCAGCCTGAAGCTCCATGGTGGACTAGCCTTGTCTTAGCAGTCGTCATCTCCATTCTCTTCATCGTAGTCGTAGTCTTCGCCCTAGTAGTAGCTGCATTAGCAGCAGTGTTCTCAGTACCTATAGCAATCATAGTCGTGGTAAAAGTTGGACTAGTTCGCGTAATGGAAGGCGCATGGGCAGCTGCATACAGAGCGGCAGCTGCTTCTGCTGGTTAATTTAGCACAAGAATTACATAGTGGCAGTAGGTGTGGGATCAGGTGGCAGTAGCAGTAGCACCCATCCAACCCTGCCCAATGGTTGCCTGGCATGGCCTCGAGACGCCAGCTTGTGCCGCGCACCGGCTTCGGACGGGCTTCTTGGCATCCAAACTTGACCTGCAGACATGACCAGAACAGGCACAACAGTGAGTGTTCCCAACCGATACTCACGCTACATAGGACAAATCAGAGCAACTGTAGCGCCCCTCAAAGTGGGACAGATATGGCTCTGCTAGCTTGCAGCCAATACGACAGCGCCCTAGAATGCTGTGGAGCACTTCCTACCCCCAGCTGGCCAACAGTTTATCTTGACCCGTTGATTTCTGTTCGCACTTCATTTGATCCCTTTCATCCAAATGGGGGCAGTGGAGGTGGCCGCAGCGGCGGCGGTGGTGGTGGCGGTGGTTGTGGTACATAGCGGTAGCCGTACCGGTAGCAATGGTGTCAGGAGAAGGGGTAGTACTGTAGTGAACTCTGTCTGCATTCCTGATACCAAGGCTTTCTTCCGTTCGACCCGGAGGCGCCATTCCAAGAACTTGTGAACACAGTTTATGATGGGGCCCTGCAACCGTAGTGACCCGGGAACATTCCTCCAGAATTGCAGAAGAGCCGCATACCGTCCTACCATACGCTATGAAGCAATGGGTGGGGGGCACCTAGCCTAGCCTAAGACATACTGTGTAGCCTCATCCCTGGCCGCGGTGAGAAGCAGCCCTGCACTAAGAAGCTGCTATGTGCTGGAGGGGGAGCCTGGTATGACTGCAGCCTCATCCTCAGAACTGAGAAACTCTCCTGGCTATGTGCCAAGATATAGGCTGCCAAATTGTACAAGCATTGGCTCATACCCTGCCCATTAATACAAGTTGTAGCAAGATTCCTTGCTGGGCTTGTGTTGATGGACCCTAAGGGCTGAACAAATGGGCAGCGACCTCAATCTCCGAAGAGCGATCTTTGCGCGAGCAGCCAGCCAGATAGACAGTTCTGCCAAGGGTGACCGCGTTGTGGCATGTGAGAAGTGGTGTGGACTGCCGCCACTTGTCCCCCTCTTCTGGAAAAAGACGGCAGGATCCTCTGCTTTATCTTTGGTTCCTTATGGTGGCCGCCTCGTGGCTGACTGATGCGTGCCAAGATGTTTACCGACTGCGAGTTCGCTAACGTTCATCCAGATGATGATGGCTGCTTGGCAGCAGAGATCCGAACAGCGCGCGTATGCAAGAATTGGTTCATGCATTCTGGGACAGGTTTCCTGAAGCTGCCATTGCGGGTAGCTCAGCAGGAGACTTCTGCAACAGTACAATCTGCAGATGCCACCCTTCAGGCATGCTGGCAAATCAGACCAGCTGAGTGCAGCCACAAGATGTACCAAGGCCTGACGTTGGTGGCATGGCCAAAAAGAAGCTCATGGGCGGCCTCAGTTCCTGGGATCCAAATCGTACTGAATGAATCCATGATTCAAACTCAGCTGGATCAACGATATGCACTTGATGCTGCAAGATGGATTGAAATCAGTTTGAAGCCACATCGAACGCAGTGACGCAAATACCTCATGGGCAGCGAGTCAGAAATCAGTCATTGCTCCCAGCCGGAGTACTGTTGGAGTTTCTTTTGTAGCGGTCCCTGGGGTGAGAATCCACACCTCGTTGCAATAGCCGTTGTAAGGACGTTTCCTGATCAGGTAAGTGCAATCTATCCCAAGACTCGCTCAAAACGGCAGATTGGACCGTGGACTAGCGCAACGGACATTCAAGCGAATGCGGATTGGAAAGTACACTTTTCATTGTCTGTTAAGAAAATTACGGTCATAGAAGTAAATATAGCAATGTTCATGAACGTCAAGTTGATCAGGTTACGTCTCCATTATATTACCACTTACGCGTGCTCTGAGCCCTTGTGCTGCTTTGGCCAGAATTCGAACCTTGGCGGGGCTGGCCATTCCGGGAAGCGGGCCACTTACCAGAGAGAGCAGCAACATCAGTTCAAGTACCTCCATGAAGAATCAGCCAAAATAAGTCACTGTGCCCAAAACACGATGAGGGTGGACGTTCATTTCTGCAATTTCCTGGTTTTGCGACAGCTTGAATAGACGACGTGGATGCTGGCCGGTGCACGCTGCTTTGTTGTCTAAAGAGCATGCCGCCCGAAGGAAGAGCCCATGGCTTTTGACCCGAATGGTGGTCTGCCAGATGATTCACAGAGAGAAATTACGTCGGCAACTCAGAGCCTGAGCGCTTCCGTCGCTTCCTCATGCCAGAAAAACTCAGAAAAACCTTTGCTGCCGAGGAAGATCTGCTGCTCCAAGCCAATGAGGAAGTGTGTTACCGTCAGCTCCTCAAATTTCCATCTTTTCGGCAGAGTCTTGCGAATGAATCATGCATCATCTGTGCCCGTATTCAGAGTCCAGCTTTGACACAGGAGTTAGCGTATCGAGGCCTTCCTTTCTCCCGTGCCAGACCTAAGGCTCAAGCATCTCTCTAATTGCCTCTGACCGTGTAGATTCCTTTGACGGCAATGGCTCAGCAGATCTCCGTGTCAGCATTTCTCATCGCTCGCATCCAGGAGTTGGGAGTCGA